TTGGTGTGATAAATTTTCAGTTCTATCTTTACCATTAATTTTTGTTGGCAAGGCCTTTTCCATGCTTCAGAGAATTTCTCTGAAATTATTAGACTAATAATTTTTCATTCTAAAAACAGAATTTGCATCAAATGTTGTTAGCAGGGGTAAAAGTTGAAATTAGAAAGTAAAAGAATCAAGCTCCACGATTTAAGAAATTAAGGTTTGAAGGTTTTTTTTTTAACTTGCATACATTTTTATAGCACTTAGAATATTTTAAGACAAGTTATTTTGAAAACTGCAAAGTTTAAACATTATAGCTAAATGCCACAAAGCATAAGATTCTTAGTTATGTTTTTTTCCCCACTGTAGTTTATCTCTTCAGGGGCAGCTAGGTGGGATAGTGCATAGAGCATTGGGCTTAGAGTTAGGAAGACTCATCTTCCTGAGTTAATCTGACTTCAAACACTTACTAGTTGTGTAACCCTGGGCCACTAAACCCAGAATCACTTGATTTTGTTTACCTCAGTTTCCTCATCTGTAAAATGATCTGGTGAAGGAAATGGCGAAGTACTTCACTGTCTTTGCCAGGAAAACCCCAAATGGGGTCACGAAGAGTTAGACATGACTAAAGCAACATAAAAACAAAAATATCTGCTTCAGTGGTTTTAGCATAGGGATCTGAAGACAGTTCAATATTCTTCCCTCACCTTTAAAGGACCTTTGAAATCTTCACTTTTAAAAATATACATATATTCTGGCTACTAAAAATTGCCGATGTCCTTGGTTTTCTTCCATTTTGCTAGTAATGCTAGAAAGTTCACTTGATAATGTTTTGAATTTTACTATGGTAATTTATTTTGTGATATTCTCAAGTTCCGTATATGTTACTCACTCTAAGTCCCAGTTGCTTATGTATTTTCTTTTTCTCTCCCTACCTTTTCCCTTTCCCTTTTCTGTCTCTCTATCTATATTTGTGTATATATATAGTATACATATCTATATATATGTATAGATATGTATATCTATATATATGTATATGTATATACATATTCACATTCACATAGAGATACACACATATGTTTATATGCATATCCTTCATAAGGTTCTGTTCTCTTTCAACAGTTCACTTTAACAAACATTTAAGTGCCAAGTATGGTACTAGGGAAACAAAGATGGTGGTGATGATGATGATGATGATGATGATGATGATGATATTAGCTAATATTAGCATAGTGCTGCTTTGTATGCTCCAGGCATTGTGCTAAGTACTTTACAAATACTATCTCATTTGATCCTCACTATAATCTTGCAAGGTAGGTGCTGTCATCCTATTTTACAAATGAGGTAACTGAGGCAAACAGAGGTTAAGTGTGCCCAGGGTCACACAGCTAGGAAGTGTCTGAGGCGAGGTTTGAACTCAGGTTTTCCTGACTTCAGGCCTTGCATTCTATCCACTGAGGTAAAGACAGAAATGATAACAATACCTGTCTTTCTAGTAGCTTACATTCTGTTAAGAAGAAACAATGTATGCAGATAAGTAAATAAAAATTAATTTCTGGGGTGAGGGGATTTTTGAATTTTAATAATTTTGGTTTTTATAGTTGTAAACTCTGGAATATTGATTTAGAGGTAGAAGGTACCTTAGAGATAATCTGATTTAGTCACTTCATTGTACATATTCATTTCAGTTAAGTTCAGCAGATATTTATTAGACACCTATTTAAAATGTCAGGTACATGGGGATACTAAGCGCTGGGAATACAATGACAAAAAAGTCTTTGCCATCAATGAGCCCACATTCTACTGGAATAAATACAAAGTAATTTGAAAAAAGAAACGAGCTGATTGTGAGGGGAGTCAGTAAAAGCTTTGTGTAATAGGTGGCACTTGAGCTGTGCTTCGAAGGAAACAAGATTCTGTGGGTGGAGATGACATGGCAATGGCTTCCTGACAAGGGACACCACTGTGCAAGGGCATGACATGGAAGGGTGGATATGGGGAATGGCTAGCAAGCCAGAGTGCATGAAGGGAAGTCATGTGATACAAGACTAGAAAGGGGACATAGCGACCAGACTGTGACTAGATTTGAACGTCTAGAGTTTTGTATTTTATGCTAGAAACACTAGGGGGCCATTGAAGGATTTTTAGTACAATTGTGACATGGTCAGATCTGTGTTTTAGGAATATCATCTTCACAATTACTCAGAGAATGGATTTGGAAAGAGACTAGGGGAAGGAAGACAAATTAGGAGGTGGTTGTGTGATAAAGGCCTAAACAAGGTAGAAGCTGAATGAGTAGAGGGAAGGTAACTGGACGTTGGAGTTGAGGGAGATGGAAGAGTCAGGATGGCGCCAAATGAATTTTCTTCTCACATCAGTTTCAACTTTGCTGGCCATAGAACTCTGTTCACCTCCTGATCTGCAGTAGTGTTTTTTCATTTTTTGTAGAATTTCAAATAAAAATATGTTATTGTATAGTTGTTTCAAGCTTTAACAAATTTACTTTTAAATACTGCTTACATGTTGTATCTACAGAACTTGAACCTGATTTATTTACTTAAGCATTTTTATTTAAAGTTTTGAGTTCCAAATTCTTTCCTTTCCTCTCTCCCTTCCCCTCTCTGAGACAGTAAGCAATCAGATATAGGTTATACATGCTGCAACCTGATTTATTAAAGTTTTTAAATATACCAAGTCTTTATGAATACACTCTATAGTTGATATATTTTCTGATATGTGATCTGCTATTCATTTATTGATATGCATGATATCACCTCTCTTATTTTGATCAAACACCATGACCAAACAAAAGGTCCTTTTCTTTATATGTATATATAAGTATACATCTTATTCACACCTCCTGCTGAAACCCAAAATTTATAAATTAAACCAGATATTCCATAAAAATTGTTTTAAATGTTGGTCATTCCCCCTCACTGTCTCACACTGTACCAACATGTTCCTGTGACTTGACCCCCATTCCTAGAATACACCCCCTTTTCACTTTAACCCCTTAAATTCTTTGTGTACTTCAGGGACCTTTTTGTGTGCTGTCACTCTGGTGCAAGCCCTCCTCACTTCATGCCTGCCCTGTTGCAGTAGACAGCTGGTTGGTTTGCCCACCACAGGTTTCTGTATTTCAGCCCATCCTCTCCTCATTTGTAAAAATGATTCTCCTAAAGTCTGACCATGTTACACACACCCCCATACCCACTCATTTAACTCTGCTGGCTTTCTGTCACCTCTAAGATCGAATTTTAAAACCTCTCTTTGGCATTCAAAGCCTTTCATAACCTTCACCCTGCGTCCTCCAGTCTTCTTACACCTTATACCCCCACTGTGACACTAACTTTCTTGTTGTTCCTCAAAGAAGACACTGTCTCAACTCCAGACTTTTTTGCTGGCTATACCCCTGTGTGTGGAATTCTCTCCTTTCTCTTCTTGGCATCATGGCTTCCTTCAAGTGCCAAATAAAATTTCACCTTCAACAGGAAACCTTTCCCAACCTCTCCTAATGCCTATTGATTATTTCTATTTTATCTTGTATATAGCTTGTTTGTATATACTCCCCCATTGGATTGTGAACTCCCTAAGAGTAGGGATTGTTTTTGGCCTTCCCTTGTATCCCTTGCACTTAGCACAGTATCTGGAGGCATAATAGGCCCTTCATAAATGTTTGTTGACTTACTGATGCCTTCTACTGGAAGCCCTTCATGATTCTTCCCTCTGATTCATGTCCCCTCCTTCCTCAAATTATTTCATGCTTATCAAACAACAGTGCCTTCTATATGCTAGGCATTCTTGGAGGCACTGAAGATACAAAGAATGACATGGTCTCGACTCATAATGGGTTTACATTCAGATGGAGGAAATGAAATGCATATAAAAATATAGCATAAATATAAAGTTACTAAATACTTTGACATACACTAGTCACACACACCGAATAGTTGAAGACAAAAGTAGTTAGTGTGGGAGGACACTAAGGGGATCAGGAAAGGCTTCTTGTTGAAGCTGGTGCCTTCGGGGCATCCTCAAGGATGTGAGGGACAGCTAGTACCGAGGCATAGAGACAGAGAGACAGGAGGCTAGGGAGGTGGGAGGAATGTCCAGTGAACCTGGAAAGATAGCTTGGGCCAGTTTGTGTAGGGCTTTAAAATCTAAACAGGAAAGTGTATTTTATCCCAGAGGCAACCTGAAGCCAATGGAGTTGGCTGTTGAGTCGGGGATTCACATGGTCAGATCTGGGCTTATGTAACATTACTTTGGCAACTATGTATAAAATGGAGTAGAATATTCAGATCCTTGAAGTAGGGGCATCAATTAGGAGGCTGTTGAAATAATCAGGGTGGGAAGTGTTGAGGGCCTGAACTGAGGTTATAACTTTGTCACTGAAGGTTGGAAACAATTTTAGAGATTTTGTTGTTCAGTTTATCAATAAAGGAACTTTGGATTTTTAAAAACAGAAGAGATTTCAGCCAGTAACAAGTTATTGGGTAAGTAGTACTTGGAAAAATTGTGAGGTAATTGAAGTTCCTTATTAAGTTTTCTCTAATTCTTTTAATTTATTCTTAAGGAAATTTCATAGCATTAACAAGGGAAATTCGGTTTATTGGCTTAGGTTAATTGAAGAAGAAGCCTTTGTCCTTTTCCCTCTCAGAAAACCTTGATTTTGTATCACTCATTGAAAAGCAAATGGTACTTTCGTTTAAAATGTAATATTATTTTAGAGTCAGTATGATTTAGTGGCAAGCACATTGGATTTAGAGTCATTGAAAATGAGTTCAGATCTCAGCTTTGCTACTTATTACCTAATTGACTTGGTTAGGTCACTTAACCCCTACGGGCCTTAGTTTCCTCATTTGTAAAATAAAAAAGCTGGACTAGATTGATTTCATTGAGTTCTTCTTTCTCTAAGCTCCATGATCCTATGTTGTTGTAGAATTTTAAACATGGAGTTTCTGTTTTTTCATATTGTACTCTGTTAACACAATTCATTTTGGTTTTTTTTTTAATAGGATTCTTGCAGCCTTTCCTAGAAGCCTGTAGCAATGTATTATTTTTTCGTACCTGTTCTGTGCTACTCCGACACCCTAAACTTGATCTGCAGATACTGGAAAAACTCAGCATTATACTACAGAAACTCTCCAAAATCAAGTAAAGATTTTGTTCATTTGTAGTATTTTTCTATTTATACCTCTTAGCATCCTTGTTGGATAAACTTAGGCCAATTTAGGCCAGTTCACTAGTTTGCTCACAAGAAAATACTTCAGTAGAGATAGTAAAATGTAATGGAAATAGCTCTGAATTTAGAGTCAAAGAACCTGTGCTTGAAACTCTAATTATTCTTACTGCCTGTGTTACCCTGGGCCAGTTACTTACCCTTTTTGGGTGTCCTGTTCTTTATCTGTGCCATGAGGGTGTTAGATTCCATCTCTAAAGTTCTTTCCAGCTTTGAGTCCTGGGTCCTGAAAATGTTCTTAAGGAAATATTTTCATATTCAAAGTATCTCTGTTGTGGTGGGTACTTCTTTTACTATTAAAGCAGACCACGGACGTGTGACTTTGCAGAATCTTTTTGAGAGTTGTTGGGGCCAGAAGATGCATGTCTTAGGGCCAGCTCAGTGATGGGCCACAAAGAAATAGAAATTTGAAACTCATAGAAATTTAGTTTCCCATAGCGTAAAGTTTTATTCATGTTTTAGCTCAGTGAGAACAAGTTATAAGTAATGTATGTAACCTTGTATTAAATCTGATTTTTGTATGTGTTGCATACCTTTATAATATTTCTATTTGTAGTATGCTGTGCATAAAATATAAATAGTATACTTTGGCAGTTATATCATCATGCCATTTCCATTTTTTCAGTTGAAGAAACGGGTTTTAAAAGGTTGTTTACCATTTCTTAGTTAATGGTGAGGGTAAAATTAGAGCAGTGGTGTCAAACTCAAGTAGAAACTGAACCCTGCTGATGTCTGCATATTGATTTAGAAAACCACAAATTAACATTATCTGTGTTGTGTATTATATTTTTATTTATTTTGTTAAATATTTCTTAATTTCATTTAATCTGGTTTGTTTGAGGCCAGTGGGCTATAGTTTGACACCTCTGGTGTAGAGGAGGTATCCTGCTGCAGTAGAAAGAGGGCTAGATGGAGAGTCAGGAGCTGGGTTCATATCTTACTTGTCTCACTAACTACTCCTAGCTACCCGTTGGGTATGATACTCAACCTCTCTGTACCTCAGTTTCCTCATCTATAAAATCTCGACTTTGTATGCATTACTTTTAAATTCCATATTTTGGAGCTCATACCCATTTCAAACTCAGATAAACAACTTAAACAAAGTTTGAATAAACGGCTGGGAATAATATAATACTCAAATTTTTTAGCAAATTTTTGAAGTTGCAAAGATGCAAATTAAATCCTTTCATATCTAAATTGATGGGTACTTAAGGTCATTTGCTGTTTCTCACATAAAGTAAATGTACCATGGCAAGAAAATCAGAAATATATAAAATCTAATTCTTATTGCAGATGAAATTGCCTGGCAGGTTAGTAGGAGAAGTGAGTGGGAGAGAGGTGATGAATGCTTGAAAGCATCTAGATATCTTTAAATTTAAGTTAGATACGAGAAGTTAGATAAAACATGGTAGTCAGTTCTGTGGCTCTAATTTTATAGTAGAGACATAACTCAGAATAATAGGGACTGAATTAGAAAGGACATCAGAGCCCAGCCTGTACCTGTATGGGAATTCCTTCTAACATCATCCTTAATGAGTGATCTGTGTATCCTTGGCTTAAAGACTATTAGTAAAGGGAACCCTCTACCTCCCAAGGCAGCTTATTCCACTTCCTAAATGTTAGGAATTCTTTCCTTACATCAATTCTCATTCTTGCCTCAGCAGCTTCTACCGGTTGATTTAAGACTGTCCTTTGAGGTCAAGTAGAACCAGACAACTCTCACATTCCCTTGTATCTTCTCTTCTTTAGATGAAATATACCCAGTTCATTCACTGGTGCTATAGTATTAAAGTCCCTCACCACGATTGCTGTCTTCTGGACATTCTCTTCTCCCGTTGCCCGAAATCCATAGTTTGTCAAGTTATTTCCAAAAATGTGTCCAGAATAGAACCTTGTACTATAGATACATGGTCATGATTCAGAGTTCAGCTGAATTTTGTTGCCTTCATAATTCTAGGCATTTTTTTTTCTATTTGTAGGCTAAGATTGCATTAGTCTTTTGTACTTCTGAATGGCGCTATTGATTCTTATTGTGATTGCAGTCCATTAAAACCCTCAGGGAATTCTACCATTCTCCTATTTTTAGTATTATAAGATAATTCTTATTTCTTATATCATTATAGACATTGTACATGTGATTAATTCAATACAAAAATATTTCTTACAGGAGTAATAAGAAGTTGTTTGAACTCTTTACACTTCACCTGATGCTTCAAGAAATCCAGAGGACAGCAAATCCAGAGCATGTCTTTCTTTGTATCAACCTTAATTCAACTCTCTTCAATTTGGGTTTAACTAAATGCAACTCCCTTGTCACTACTGCAAATAGTTAGACAAGTTTATTATTTTTTAAAAATTTTCTATGCATATTACTTATTTGTAAAAATTGAAAGATTGACCAAAGTGACTAAAATTTTGCTAAGTAAAATTATAAGACATGTTGTTGCATGGCATTGTTTATCATGAAGGGCAAATAGACAACATTTCAAATATTTTCTAATTGAATAAAAAGATATTGTGGAACTATTAGAATTCTCCTTTTCAAACAGAGTGATACAACTAACATAATAGCCTGAACTTTCAGAGTTCGTGACACTTGTAAAGCTTACTTTTTTTACAAGTCTTTCAGGAAAATTATTTTAAAATTATGTGATTGTTAATTCTGAATAAAGTTGATGTTAATTTGCAAAGAGGATTAGAGCTTGTTATCTTTCCATTTTCTGAAATGAGTTTTTTGAAGAAGCCACTTATCTACTATGTATCCTAGCTGTACTCATGTGTTATGAGCTTTTCTAAGCATTGCCCTTTGAGAAAACTTTATTAATATCTAGGAATGCCTTTTTGTGGTTTTTCTCACCAGGTGTATGTCTTTGACTAGTCATAGAGATTCTACAATATTATCAGTCCTCTAATAAGCTTTCTCTTCAATGTTTCACAGATATATGATTTCATTGGAATGACTATTATTTCTACCAATGTAGATTGCAGCTACTTTCTTGGTAGATGATCCTTAAGATCATGCAGATTTGACCATGGCATTCCCTTTCTCAAAAAATTTATCACCCTAAAACCAACGCTATTGTCTCCCAACTTGGAAAACACTCAATATATTATTGGAATTGTAATCAAAACCTTTATCTTTAGTAGACTCTGCCAGAACTTGGGCCCTACTGGCATAACAAGAAGAGGCGCCAGAGGAGGTCTTTAGAAGCAATTAATTTATTCAGTATTGATTTAGTGAATATTAATAGTTTCTTAAATAATTAATTCTTAGTACCTTATACTAAAACCTCACACTTGTGTAATACTTTATAAAGCACAATGTCTTTTTCATTCCCACATCTCTTCTGTGAGATATATAAGGCAGGTCTTAATATCCCAGCTTTAGAGATGAGTAAACTTTTCTAGCCAATTCTAGTTTTCCACTTCACATTGCCGTTCACTCTTGTTATCTGCCTTTCAACCCTACGTCATCTTTCCAAATGAAGTTTTATTCTTTCAGGATAGCAGATCCAATTTAATCAGCAAACTTTTAAAAAAACTGAAATGAATTTTTTTCAATTAACAATAATTACTTTATCTCCCTCCATCCATTAAGAAAAGAAAAAAACCTTTATAAGAAATACACATCATAACCCTATGTAACAAATATGCATAATCAAGCAAAACAAATTTCTGTATTTGCCATATCCAAAAAATATCTCATTTTGCATTCAGAGTCTATTGCATCTGTTAAGAGGTGGATAGCAGCTTTAATCATAGGGCTGCTAGAATTGTTGGTCATTTTAGTAATCAGAGTTCTTAAGTCTTTCAGAGTTTCAGCTATTATTTATTAAGTGCCTACTGTGTGCCAAAGCATTGGATGTAGTCTTATCAGGAATAAAGTGTTAGAGAGTAAAGGCTAGCCAGAATCTATTGTGAATTTAACACATGGAATTGCAGATTCTCAAGTGCTGTCCTGTTGTTTGTGATAGGCATTCTTCAAATGTTAATGAAGATTCACTGATTCTCTGAAACTTGAAACCATTTGCATAGTAGATGCTTAAGTAATCGTTCTCCCTTACCTGCTCTGGTCATCCACATTTGTACTCTGACAATCATAGTGGCTCTACTCTTTATAAATAATCTGCACACTTTGTGTTTTAGTTTCTATTCTAGACTAGTTTGCAACAGCAAATAGCAGAAGAAAAAAATGACATGTTCTTTAGTAATACTCTGTCTTCATGCAATTATCTAGCATTTTATTTCAGATTTATTTTTAGATACAGCATAAGTTGGCTGCATACGTTTTGAAATGGATTTTGTCAGATGTAGGTGTTATAAAGAGAATATGAATTTTAAAAGTTGGAACTGGGGACTAAAATGACTGTTTTCTCTTTGAAAAATATGAGTTAGTTGGAAAGACTTGTTTCCTTTTGGAATTTTTATAGTTTTATTAATCACTTATTATCCCAGCAATACAGTAAGAGCTGCTAAATATTATATTAAGCCAAATGTTTTCTAGCATCTGAACTAGTGTCACTTAAGATTTTTTTTAATCTGTTTCATTTTTCCAAGACATGAGGCTTAAGTTTTTATAATGATTGCAGGTTTAAGAAAACCCCTTAGCCTAGATATTTTACTTTAGTAATGTTTTCCTATCCCCTCACATTTATGGCCAGACTTCCTGTAGATCAGTCCTCCCTCCCTTCCCTATTATGGAGAACAATCAGATAGGTAGAGAACTAGGAGAGAGTAGTGTCACTAAAACCCAGAAGGGAGAGAGGATGCAAGAGAAGAGGGGGGTCAGTAGTATCAAACACAACAGAGATGTCAAGAAGGATGACACATGAGAAGAAACCATCATATTTGTCAGATCATTGGTGGCTTTGGAGAGAGCAAGGTCAGTTAAGTGAAGGAAGTAAGAAATCAGATAACAAATAGTTTATAAATAGAGGTAATAAATGTAGGCAGTTGTTTTTTGTTTGTTTTAATAATTTGGCTGAGAAAAGAGATATCAGTTAATAGTTTGAGGGGACAGTCAGGACTAGTGAAGATTTTTAAGGTTGGGTAGCTATGATATGTTTAAAAGCAATAGGGAATATATATATATATAAATATATATGAGAATATAAGTATATAACAGAGCTTGAATAGAAAGAGAAGGGATCAAGTATGGAGGAGTTGGCCTTGGCAAGCAGTAGGGCTACCTTATTAGCAAATGGGGGGGAATTCACCTATGAAGTGGAAGAGGGTAGCAGTGTGAATGAGAAAGCAGAATTCAACAATATGTTGTTTACAAAAAACACTTGAAACAAAGACTCACAAGAGTTAAAATAAGGGACTGAAGCGAAATCTGTTCTATTTCAGCTGAGCCCCCAAAAGCAGGAAAACCAAATAAGGCTTCAGCAAAAATAGAGAAATAGGAGACTAGTAGGATAGAATACTGTATATACATACATGCACATACAGTTTGGGACAGTTGGGTCTAGGGAAGATTTGTAAGGATGGGTAGATACTTATATGTTTAAAGGCAATGGAAAAGGAACTGTATATACCCTATTGATATACATACTTTTGTGTATATATATATATATATATATATATAGATACACTTTTGCATATGTGTATGTACATACACGTATACATACACACATATGAAGACATAACTATGTAAGGAGAAATTGAAGATTAAAAAGGTAGAGAAACTTACTATCTATAGTAAGATGTGGTCAATGTATTGGTGTTGTAGAAGTGTCTGTCCTTCTGTCTCAGATGCAAGACACCTCAATATATGGAGTCCTAAACAGAAGCACTGAGTGGATTTTCATCTGTTCATCACAATTCATAACATACTTAGACTCTGGAGAATGTCAGGTCACAGACCATGAACAAATCTGAGGGTACCTTTGTTCTTTGTTTTGCCATGAAGTCCCTTATGAGCTCAGAGTCATCTGTGTAGACGAGTGAGACTCGTACTTTGGTTAAATTTACAGATATCTCTTTCCTAGAGTCTATCTAGGGTCATGAGGGGGAAGGAAAGTTCTTGCTAACAAATATCCAGGGGAAGGAAAGTTCTTGCTAACAAATTGGATAGGAGAAATATTCATGGAGGACATACCATTTGTGTTAGCCTTTCAAAGACAGAAATTTAACGAGAGAAGATTCTAGGCACAGGAAACAGTGAGCCATGATGTCACAAGGACAAAGTGCAGGCTATACTGGGAAGGCTGGGGTTGGAGTGGAGTAAAAAGTAGTCCACATTAACTGAAATGAAGAATACATGGGAAAGAGTATAATATGAGAAAAGGATGGAAAGTTTGGGTGATGATCGGAGTTTTTTTTTAATTTTTAATTAATTTATTTTGAATTATCAACAATCACTTCCATAAGCTTTTGAGTTTTAAATTTTTCTCCCTCTCCTTCCCCTCCTCCCTCCTCAAGACAGCGTGCAATCTGATGTAGGCTATACATATATATTCCTAATAAACATATTTTCACATTAATGATGTTGTAAGAATTAGAACCCAATAAGAAGAACCACCAGAACAACACAACAGAAGGAAAAAAAAAAGCAAATAGTATGCTTCAAATCTGCATTCAAACTCCTTTCTTTCTTTGGATGTGGATAGCATTTTCCAGCATGATGCCTTTAGAGATGTCTTAGATCCTTGTATTGCTGAGAAGGGTTAAGTCTATCAATATTAGTCATCACACAACGTGGCTGTTACTGTGTACAACGTTCTCCTGGTTCTGCTCATTTCACTCAACATCAGACCATACAAGTCTTTCCAGGTTTTTCTGAAGTCAGCCTGTTCATTGTTTCTTTTAGCACAATAGCACAATACCATTACATTCATATACCACAACTTGTTCAGCCATTCCCCACTTGATGGGTATTCTCTCAATTTCCAATTCTTTGCCACTACAAAAAGAGCTGCTATAAATATTTTTGTACATGTAGTTCCTTTTCCCATTTGTATGGTCTCTCTGGGATATAGCCCTAGAAGGGCTATTGCTGGGTCAAAGGGTATGCACATTTTCATAGCCATTTGGGCGTAGTTCCAAATTGCTCTCCAGAATGGTTGGATCGTTTCACAACTCCACCAACAATGCATTAGTGTTCCAGTTTTCCCACATCTTCTCCAACATTTATCATTTTCCTCTTTTGTCATGTTGGCCAATCTGATAGGTGTGATGTAGTACCTCAGAATTGTTTTGATTTGCATTTCTCTAGTCAATAGTGATTTAGAGCATTTTTTCATATGACTGTAGATGGCTTTAATTTCTTCATCTGAGAACTGCCTGTTTATATCCTTTCACCATTTATCAATTGGGGAATGACTTGTATTCTTATAAATTTGACTTAATTCTCTATATATTTTAGCAATGAGGCCCTTATCTGAGAGACTGGTTGTAAAAATTCTTTCCCAATTTTCTACCTTCCTTTTAATCTTGGTTGCATTGGCTTTGTTTGTGCAAAAACTTTTCAATTTAATGTAATCAAAGTTATCCATTTTGCTTTTCATAATGTTCTCTATCTCCTGTTTGGTCATGAATTCTTCTGTTCTCCATAAATCTGATAGGTAAACTATTCTTTGCTCTCCCAGTTTGCATATAGTATGAGCCTTTAGGTCTAAATCATAAAACCATTTTGACTTTATTTTGGTATATGGTGTGAGATTTTGGTCTATGCCTAGTTTCTACCATA